CACCACGAATTCGCAGGGAGTATCTTCTGACATTGCATTTGTTCCAGTAGGAAGTTAATAGTTATTAATTCACCCCATAAGTCTGCACTGTTCTTAATGCAAGTGCAGATCTCCTGGTAATGGTGCTACTCTTGCAAAATTCTACATAACCTTTATTTTCCAGAAGTTTGTCACGTTGAATGGATCCCTTTTAATTTTATGCACAATATAGGAGGCAACAAAACCTAAGTATTATTAAAATTTGTGTTCAGAAAGCACAGTATGAATGTCAAAATTAAAGACAATTGCATATGCCAGCTGCATTTAGCTGGTTTGGCTTGTAAGGAAATTCTTAAATAGTTTATCCTCCAACAGATTCCTGTTTTATCTAAAATTCTCCAGGCCTATTAAATCGTGCATTTTATTTGTTGCCATTTAGTTCTGAAGCTGAAGCTCACAAAAGCATTTAAAGGCATTTATTGGGTATCTCAGCCATTAGCTGGGATATGATTTTATACATCACTCTTACAGTGCCTGCCAGTGGATGGGAGGGGAGAAAAGACAAATCAAAATGCCATATGATCCTGTTTATTCCAAAGCAAAGACTTCCAAGGCACTTAGAAATGCAGCAGGAAGAATGACTTGGGTAGTGAGCAATAAATAAGGAGGTTCAAGAGAGAGAAAATTCAAGTCTGGTGCCTCAGGCTTTCCAGACAGAGTTAAAAAAATACTAGTTTGACATTTAGCAGGACTGCAAACTCTGTTATTCTACATGAACAACTCTGTGATAAAATGATGACAGGCTGCTCCACCACGTCACTTTTCCTAATAACACTCAGCAGTGCTTTCTACCCCACAAAAACTGGGCACACCTGCACCCCTGAATTTACCTGCAAGTCCTAAATTATCCTCAGCCCTTAGGTATTAAAAATCCATAAAACTTTGTAGCACAGGCAAAGTTTCTGCAAACAGCTACCAATTAAAAGCTAAGATCATCCATATTTTCCAGCATTTTTATCTTCTTACTGGGAATCACTTATTAATATTTAGGATAATACTATATGATTTTTAAGCTTGTATCATAACACAATTAATCTAACAATTATATTCCTTTTAAAAGAATGAAAAGGCTCCTAATTTAATGGAGTCAAAATATAGTAAGAGCTCCAAATCTCTTCTTCCCTGATTAACCAACCAGTGTGGTAATTCCACGCTGTAACTGCCCTCCCAGGGCAGTGACTCTGCAGAGTTTTGGATGCAGAGTGAAGGTCCTGCAAAGATTTGTACCTAAACTTTACCAGCTGACATATCCTGGAACGGGACTGTTGATTTCCATAATTCCCCCGAAGGTTTTATACTAACTTAAGGCTTCTCTGTGCACCACTTTTTAATTATTATTATTATTTAATAGTTTATTTCCATATTCAAACATGGGGGAACACTCCTTAAGGGTAATCAGCTAGAATTTTATAAACAAATCAAAGCTAAAACCAGAAAAAGTAAGCTATGTGATAACTTTAAATATTTAGTTTAGCAAAGCAGGGTTTGTTTGGAGTAACCAAGTTGAAATCTGTTACGTGTATGTAATTGGCATCTGCAACTAAAAGTCAAATTGAAAGCCTGACAGAGAAAGCCACCAAGTCTGTGCTCGTGCAAACTGAGAAACTCAGTATCCAAAAGCATCCCAAAATCCTGTGGAGACCGGGCTTTAAGTAACCCAAAATTGGAGGCAACGCCTCATCCAACCCAAAACTGAAACCAAACAGGAAGTATTATATAAACCCTTCCCTGTGAGGTGTTTAACCCACAGTCCACTCTTTGCTCAGCTGTTCTTTTATCAGCTGAGCCCAGAGAGTTCCCCTCGGAGACACCGAGAGCCGAGCGAGGCTCAGAAAAAAATCGAGCTCTTTTGGTTGTTGTCATTCCTAATCACAGACATCTATAAAATTATTACTCCAAGCTACTGGTGGGAATAGAAAACTCCAGATCAGCTAAATCAATCAGGCCTGGGAGGCTGGGAAAAGGGAGACGAGCAATTTTTGTGAGGAATCAATTTATTGGCTATTAAAGACATGCTTAAAATTAACTGCAGAATACGGTTCCCCATCTTCTGCTCTGGAGGAACAGCACGGGCTCCTGGTTTTATCTGGGTCAGGGACTCCATGCTAAGTCATTCCAAACAAACCCAGTGATCCTGCAGCCCCAAAAATGCTGGGATTAAAGGGGTAGATGAAATAACCTGGAAGTTGAGCCAGGGCAGAGGCACTCATGAAACAGCCAGCCAATACTTGAAAATAAATTGCATGTTAATGGATCCTGCTGTCAAATGACCGAGTGCCCGAAAACTCACTTTGACAACTCCGAGGTATCCTCAGAGATGGCTGTAATGGGTGACTTTCAGAGCTAATAACCAATTTTTTTAAGCCCTTTTTTTTTGGTTAAAAACATGTGTTCTCTTTTCAGAAGCAATTACTGAGTATTTCACATCTTTGTAAGTGCAGCATTTAATTTTTGCTGCAATTTTTTGGTAGTGCAGGACCTCCCATTAGCAGCTTCGAACACTAATGGCTTTTATGTTCCTGTATTTAGTTTTTGGTAAACTCATTAATTTACCAGACCATTTTGGAACATTTGCTTCCAGTAGTTCTACGTGACTGGAAATGCAGAGTTTTGGGGCTTGACAGTAGTTTTTACAACACATTCTAGTGCCTAAAGCTGATGTGTGTCCAATTGCAAGCTGATGGATCAGGTTTGTATTTTACACAGCGCTTTCTTCACTAAAACATTCCAAAATTCCACTCTGGATGGGTGGATGGATGGATGGATGGGTTTCCTACCATCCCCATCTTTGGAAGGTGTGACCCCGTGGGGCTCTGTTTGCAGAATTTCTCTCAAATAAAGCCACAACTTCACTCACAAATGAGATTATGATTAAAACACAGCCTAACACAGCCAGTACAGGACCCTAACAACGGGTTTCAACGGGAACAAAAAATTCCTGACGTTCATATATAGTTGATTTATTCCCTTCCAAATCTGTCTGTCTTTGTACATCACGTGTTAAAGGCAGACAGATAACTGATCTTTCCCCCCAGGCCAGCACAAAAGCATCACTCTGCTCCAATTTAATGTTCAGGTTTCCTGCTAGAATTCCCATTTTTCACTCTTTTCCCCCAAACCAGGGGCTTGGTCACTTTGCTATCAGCTGCTAGGCCTGTATATTTAACATGTCCGGTGGAAAACTAATCTGGCAACCTCAAAATCCATTATTTGAACGTTTTTGTCCTGAATTTTCCCTCCTTTTGCTTTCTTCTACAGACTCTCCACTACATCACATAGAGCCAGCCAGAAACTTCCCCTCCTCCATCAACTGCAGCTCACTCACCTCTACCTGAGCCTCACAAGTCAGACACAAAAGGCAAACTAGGTGGATTCTGGAATATTTCAGTTGCTTGTTCACAAATTACTGGGACCAGGGAATTAAAACCCGAATTAAAAATTAAGTAATGACACATCTGCATGAGATCTTTTGACCATGCACACCTTGTGTCTTCATATCTTTAGGGAAGTGTTTTTATTGCTTTTAAAACCCATAAACATTCCAATATTTCCACTGAAAATGATTTCCCCATTATGCTTTCTTAAATTAAAACTAAATATAGACCAGTCATAAGGATTCACTCTCCTGTGCTTTATAAAACATATGCTATTGTGGCATTTAACTCTTCAAGAGTTCCACATATTTTATTTAACAGACAAAGGAATTTTAATTAAAAACTTATTTTAAATACACCTGAAAGTCCCTTTACTCGTTTTACATCGTACTCTGAGTCCCTCTGAGGGTCCATCTGTGGTTAAATAGGAAATGCATGCAGAATATTTGGATTAAGTGGGAATTTGGTAATTCAGCAAGTCTCAGGGAGAAATTTGTGCAATAGGAGAGTAAAAATGACAACTTCAAATGAGGTGTAAAAATGAGATCTTAACTATCCTGCTACTACAGATTCCCTTGTGATCTGAACAACCACAGAGCTGTTGGGTTTTGGAGGGAGGGGGTTGGCATCTTCTCGTCCTTGAGGAGGTGTTTATATTTCAATGGCAGATTAAGTAATTTCTGTGAATCATCACAGGTTTGGAGGGTTTTTATGTAGTGCTTTAGGATCCTTTGGGATAAGCAGCTGTATCATAAAGGCATTTACTGCCTCAAGGAAAGGATGAGTTGGTTTGCATTTGAAGCAAACCCTTAATTGATGCACTGCTGACTTCTTCCACAAACTTCACTAGTTCATAAATTCTACGCATCCAGCAGCACCAACCAGTTGCTAATAATAATTAATCTGTATTTAGGTTATATTTAGATTATATTTAAGTTTGGCTATGAGGTAAATTTTTATAAAAATCCCAATCATGACACCTTTTAATGACCAATTAGTTTCTTGCAAAGACACCGAATACATCAGACAGGAGAACGTGTTTGGTAAACAGGCCCAGAGTGAAAAATAACACCAGTGTGACACTTCTTGCTACTAAACGTTTGTACTAAAGGAGAATCAAGGCTGGTCAGAGCTCTAGAGTTTTCTTTACTTGCACAAAGACACTCATTTTTCATTTTCCCTGGAGTTTTGGTTAACTACCAGGTGAATTCAGGCATTGAGAGCACGTACTGATTCGCAGGGAAGTGCCGAGCGAGCAGCCATGATCCCTGTCCTCTGGAAAGGGGTCTGGAAAAAACTCCTGCTGCCAGGAATCCTCCTCTTTGAGGAGCAAGTGTCCACAAACCAAGATAAAAAGCACAGTTTTCTCTAGAAAAACAAAAATCTAACACGAAGGACTCTGACTTTAGAGAGCCAAGCACATGGGTCGCGAGCGGCGGCCATTTTAGGCGTATCAGGGGAAAGCAGGCCAAAACCCGCAAACCTGAGGGGGAAAAGTAAGAAAATAGCCCAAATATTGCAAACCTGAGGGAGAGAAGTATCATTTGTGTTGTAATATGAGGCTTTTCGCACTGTTTTTGGCTGCAGGCATCATGGTGAGTAAGGAGCCCAGCAAATGCTTACTCACCGCCTCAGACAGCGACGTCGAGCCAGCGGCTTCCCTGGCCTTGGAGATGAAATACGCGCTGGATCCCAACCGGCAGATCAAGAAACGGAACAAAGCCCTGCAGGTGAGGTTTAAGGATATCTGCGAGGCCCAGAACGAGCAGAGGGACAAGCAGCTGTCCACCTCCACCTCCAGCACGCAGGACCCCGACAAGAGGGACGCCAAGGCCATCGCCTACAAGACGGCGTATCGCAAGTACATGACGGTGCCCGCCCGCAGGTCCATCCCCAACGTCACCAAGAGCACAGGAGTCCAGACTTCCCCCGATCTCAAGAAGTGTTACCAGACCTTCCCTCTGGACCGGAAAAAAGGGAATATTCTTAAAAGCGCCTCGACCGTGGACACCCTGCAGGGTGAGAACAACGGGTTTCTGCTTGACGTGAAGGACAGGGAGGGCCGGGGCTCGGCAGAGGCCGTTGCGTGGGGCAGGAAGGCGGGCAGCCTGCAGACGGCCGAGTTCATCTCCCACATCTCGGAGCGCGCCAACGCGGGCGCGCACGACGACGGCGCCGAGGCCTGGAAAAGCAGCGATTTGCACAGTTCTCCCAAAGAGCCGCCTCCTCCTCCCCTCCCAAACTTGGCCGACCCCGCCGAGGACGAGCCCGCGCGGCCGCCCAGCCGGGGGAGAGCGGCGGCAGCGACGCGGCTGAGCGGCGAGGAGGCCGCCCAGCCCCTCCACCACGGGAGGGTCTTCAAGACCGAGGTGGCCACCGTTTACCTGCCGGCCTCGCAGCCCGACCTGCCCAACCTCGGCGACTGGTCGCCGTGCGCCGAGGAGGACAGGAGGAGGACGGTGCACCTGAACGGCGTGCAGCCCGCGGCGGGCGACGCCGGGGCGTGCGCGGCGCGGGCGCGGTGCCCGGCCAGCGAATGTAACGACCGGCCCCTGCAGGTCGACGTCTCGCCCCTGCAGGAGGGCCGGCCCTGCCAGGCGGCCGTGGCCCTGAGCGAGGAATGCCAACAAATCGTGCCTCACACCGAAGTTGTGGACTTGAAAGCGCAGCTTCAGATGATGGAAAGCTTGATCAGCTCCAGTCAGGAAACCATAAAGGTGTTGTTGGGTGTTATACAGGAGCTCGAGAAAGGAGAAGCTCACAGAGAAGGGTGAGTAGAAGCTTTTTCGCATGAGTTTAAGCTGATTTAAAATGTCTTTTCCGAGCATCCCGCCCTTGAACTCGCTGATGTCAACACGCACCCGCTGCCGCACACGTGGCACTTCCCACACGAAGTTTTTAGAGGCCTGTCCTAGGGAAACCTGCCAGCACTATTCACAGATTGCTATCTGCTTGTCCCGGGATCTAATTAAGTAATTATTTAACGAAGGGCCTATAATACATCTTGTGCCTTTTCCTCAGAGCGCAGAACGAGCCGCTCTCCAAACAGGATTAGCAAAGATGCTTTCACATCAGCAACTTGCATTAACCATAATTCCTCACACGGCATGAAAAGCAGCAGAAAAACCTTAATTCTGTAAGAGACTTCCCTTTTTAAGATTAAGGGATATTATTACAACTCTTAATATAATTCCATTAATGGCATATGAATCTTGTCTGGTTTACTCTCACCTTCTGAATTTTTCATGGTATTTCTTTCAGAAGGAAATGAAACAAAAACTTTGAATATCAAAGCATTTCTTACAGCATTCACACAGCTCAACACAATAAACTCAAGCAGGAAGAAAGAAAATTGTGTTTATCCCTATCTTTCATCATTTAAATCAACCTGTAAGGCATTAAATAAATACTGTAACTCAGCACAACCTTTACCTGGACAGTTCAATCCCTCTATTACATAACCTTAACAAGCATTTTACAGACTGACTCACCTTAGTTCCCTCATCTTTATTCAATGAACACACATCAAAATGTATGTGCACTGTTTGGGTGTTTTTAAATACTTCTGCAATTAAATCACAATTTGTCAGAAGAAATCAGGATTTTAAAATTAGGAACCCGGCAGCTTGTGCTACTTGAAGCAGTCCATGTTTTCCTTCCTGAGCCAGAAGGGTACATCTTTAATTTAACTCTTTCTTTAGGAATGTACAAATCATGTGAATCCTAAAAACTAAAAATGTTTGTCATTGAAGAGTCCTCTCAGCTGTTGGGCACTGCTGCCAACACAGCCTTAGTGCTTTTAGTTAATTTTACAGCTGGTTATAGTATTACCTATATCAATATCAATTATCTATATCAGGACCTTATCAAGTCCTGGATCTTCAGTCTAGGAAGCCTCTTGATGCAGCTGAAAGCCACACAGGCCCAATGATCTTTAAGGTCTTCTCCAACCTAAACGACTCCAGGATTCAATTTTTTTAAATTATTATTCAGAATAATTCCCCTGCCTTTCTTAACATACAGAAACTGCAGGAGATTTGGACAGAAGTGTCAAGCAGCTTGTCAAATCACAAAATCCAGAAAAAACTCTTCCTTCATCACAACTCATCACCTGATCCCCCAGAACCCCGTGTGCAGGAACACCCACGCCCACCCACGAAGCCACCTGCTATAAATACCTCTGCATCCTCCAGACAATTGTACAGCCATTTTTTATCTTCTTCCCAAAGATAGCACAGCAACAGGTGCAGCAAATACCTATTTTTTTATTGCCCTGACAGAAGCAGAGCTATTTAATGTGGCCAACATTAGGGGCGAGCCCTTGGCACAAAACTATCGACGATTGTCTTCGAATAATTTCAACCTGGCAAAGCTACGTTAGCCCTAAAATAGTGAAACCATCCATAAACCCCAGTTCAGAACATCTCTGCAGCCTCTCAGACACACAGACTTCTGTGTTAGAGTCCATAAGACTAAATTTGACTAAAAAAAATGCTCTATTAGCACTCCTGTGTACTTGGAACCACTTCCAGCTACTCCTGCACATGTTTTAGACACGACCCAAACATGCCCCTCCCTGGGGTCGAGATGGGGAAGGAGGGAAAAAGGGGAAGCAGATGCAAACTTGCCTATTTTCTCCTGTTTCAGGAATCCTTGCATCCCAGATCCCTGATTTCCTGGCTGCAGGGGGATTTTAAAGGAGGCTGCCCAGAGGAGATTATGCTCAGGCCATTGCTGTTCTCCCCTGATCCCACTCCAGAGCTGGGAGAACACTCTGTTCTCCTGCAAAGCACCAACACATCATTAACATGAAGCTTGTCTTTATCCCCATTCCCCTCCAATTAGACAACTCTTTCAATGATAGCCTGCCCCATCCTTTTGTTAAAATAATTCTTTCCAACTGCTGCATTCATTGGACATTTTTGCCACAGACACCCGGCACTGTGTAAATTATTACGTGTCTTCTCCATTTCAGCACGTTGGGGTTTTTTTCCTGTTATAACCAAGTGTTAGGTCAGCTAATATGAAGAAATTAAAGCAGTGCTACTGCTCCATCTCTGTTTATTATAAAATACAAGAGTCTTCCATCTGCTAAAACAGGAAGAAACGTTCTGTGTTTATGGAACTCTCCTGGTTTTCTTTTTGTATATTAAATTTCTTAGGATAACACACTACAAGAAGCAAATACAAGTAACACACTGCCGGTTAAAAAAAAAAAAAAAAAAAAAGAAAAAAAAGTCCAAACCCAGAAAACAAAAGCACAGCTAAATTTCTTAATCAGATTTTTCTCCCTTTAAGGAAATCAGTGCTCTTTAAGTGCTGTTGTAGTGCCCTGGGACTGGTGCTCAGTGGATTCATTTTCACTAATATGCTGTAGGTCCTGAACTGCTATTACTGCAATTCATCACTAAATGAGTCAATGCCAGCAGAAGTGCAGCAGCATCTCTGAAGACAGCAGGATCATCTCTGTATACTTCCCAAAATGTCAGTGCTACATCATCTGCAATCAGCAACAACATCCAGCTCCCAACTCTGCTGAAGGAAAGGGAAAAGCCACCTGAGGAGGAGAAGCCCAGCCAGCCTGTGACCCCCCCCAACATCAGAGGAAATTAGTAAAATTGTGCATTATTTCCATCATTATTTACTAAACCTCTTGCAAAGAGGCAATTCCACCATCTATGTGGAAGTTTCTACAAAAAACCAAATTATATCCCAGCAAAGCACAGATATTGCTGGATGCCTTAAGTCAGGCATGAAGAAAGTGCAGAGCTGCAGCTTCAATTAAGCCCAGAGTTTAAAAAAAAAAAAATGTTGAATATTACATGATGCAGGGTTCAGCTGCACAACACAAACCCAGTTTTATGCTCCAGTTTTATATGAGAAACTATTAGCAATCTCCATCACTTATAGACATATTTGTCTGTATTCAGATACAGAATTTCCCAAGTCAAATTCTGCTCTGCGTGAGGCACAAATGCAAGCTAATAATTCTGAAACCTGGCTAATAATATCTAGGAAATGTATAACACAAGACGAACACATAATCAAAAATATTTTGCTGCTGGAGAACAACAATGACCTGCCCTTTAAACGCTTACTGTGGAAAGGAACAGAAATCTGGGCCCTCCTCATTATACAACAAATCAGCAATTTTAATAAACAAAGTGCTCAATTTGCCACACAAAAACAAGTCACAGTATTTTGACTCTGACAGGCCAAATGCTACACATTAGACAAGAGTTAAATGAACCTGTTTCCGAGATAATTTATATTCATTTATTAGTCAGCAGTGGCTCAGGAATTTAAAGAGCTCTCGACAAACTCCCTCGAAGAGGCTCTGAAAGAACACGTTGTTATGGAGGGAATTTAAATGTCAGCTCATGCTTTTCAGTGACTAAGGGATATCTGTGGCTCTCACTCTCATTTCTAAGCAGGAAATAAACCACTGTTACATGTTTGGGGGGGATGTTTCACCAAAGGGGAGAGCAAACCCTCTTTGGGTTTGTTTCTTCAACTACAGCCGTGGCAAAGGAGAGGTTTGACAGGACCATTTCTAGGAGAAAACCTGGATATGGAGGGAAGGCAGAAGGCACTGCAAATAAAGACGTGAAAAGCAGAGAGAACGTGGCAAATTCCATCTGTGAGGCCCAAACTGTGTCTCAAATACTCTGAGGGACAGCAGGTTTTTGGAGCAGCAGCCCTTGGGGAGAGGACTACGACGAGTGCCTTTATTTCCAGTCTTGGGATCTTTATATTCATCCATCCTGCCCGTCCTTTGGAGCAGTCCCATTCCTTTCACTTATCCTCCTGACACCACCTCCTAAATCCTTCCCCCTTTGCCCTCACTGGAGTTGCTGTATTTCAGGTTATGCATCATTTACAGATCATTCCCAAACACAAACACACCGAAACACCTTGGAGGTTGTCACAGTTCACCTTCCCAAGGCACAGCCAGGAAATCTCTTTGGATGCATCTTCCTTAGTCAAGGAAAAGGAGTAATTTTTGCCCTTTGTGGATCTTGTGATCCTTGGGCCACTGATGGTTGAGTGTTAGTTGTTTCTTTTTTTTTTAAATTCTAATCCATACCTACCATTTTCTCAGCTGTTTCCAGTGTTAAAGTGAAGCACTTCACTACCACAGAAGCAGTTTTTATTTTCTAGTTCCAACAGCAGCAGAACACCCTTCTGTGCCTTTTCTTAAAGTCATTTGTATAACTATTCCCTCCTGGAAGTACACAGATAATTCTAATTATTATTATTATTATTAATAGCTGCTCTGTCAGGCTTCATCACTGCCCAAAAGGGGTGTGTGTCACACTGAACTCTGAGCATAACCAGGCAAAATGCATTCAAAGACCATTTATTTATGTTTTCTTTTAGGTCCCTAAAGCAGTTTTTAAGCCATAAACTTTGCCTGTGGGGATCCCATCCCCTTGTCCTGTGCTCACTCCCCAAGTACAGCTCATCCCTCATCAGCTCATCTCCCGTTCTCCCAAAGCAGGATGGGTGCTAAGACGCCACCAAAATCCATTTACCAGCCCTCACCGTGAGAAATTTGGGTTTCTGAGTTATAAACCAGCCCTTCCACGTTCCCCCCCAACACACTGACACCTCCTCGCTGGAACTATTCCATCATATCCCAAAACTCCCCATTTCCTCAAAGAATTATTCCAACACCTGCTCTCAGTCCGCATGACCCCCCTCGAGCCTTTCAAATTCTCTTATTCAAAGAAAAAAAAAAACTAATGAAAGATGATTAATTAAGACTGA